CTTTACGTATAGCCCTTAACCATAAACGCCATGAAAGTCTTATTATAAGGTCCATTCTAACAGTCACTGGTCAGCCTCAACAAAAGCTCCCTAGAGCGAAGAATGCTTACCAAAATCAACAAAGCACCATTGATCCAGTAGACGTATCTCCATTGGTCGTGACGCCGCTCATCATGAACCAGCAGAGCGACCGTCATTGGAGCTACGAATAGCGCCACACATTTCATAAATTGAATGGTAGCCAGCACAAAATGCGCATACTGACTGAAATGGCAGCACCTTCAGCGAGTGTTCCTCAATGAGACAAATCTTAGCATGCGTAGGCTCTTTTTCTATAGATCACATGCAAATCCTACAGATTCATGCTTTTGTTAGACAGCGATTTCTCGAATATGAGTTACCTACCGTGATGAAAGTGTTCCACATTTGTAGAAGCCTCCAGGATTCATACCCATACAAGTGATGACCAGAGTGAATAAAGCAACGCCACATTTTGGCCAATCTCCAGGGATTATACCAATCATTGTACAGAAGACACCAGCCAAACCAACCGCGATTGTGTTGAAGAAGATCATTTTCTTACGTTCCGGCACACTTCTAAACTATGAAGACAACTTCCATCATAGACTGAGGTACTTCAGCAGAACTATAATGTACTTGTGCGCAAATTCAAAGGCAAACCCCGGGATTAGGCCAAATAGAAGTGAGGACACCGCGAGCCTACCTAGATCACTCCAGCTTCGTCGCAAAAATTGCGCGGTTAGGGCGCTAATCCTTACGGGCCTGCAACCATCGACCCCGTTCCAACGCTTCCCACCCACCGCGAGAGATGGTGAGATCAGCGTGCATTGATGTAGAGATCAGCGTGCTCTCTCAAACGACGTGCTCTCTCGCGTATTTTGTCTTCTTTGACGCCCTGTCTCGCCATCGTACCACATCCGACCTTATTGAAGGTTAAGGCCTTAATTTCAGCGTTCCCAAAGATTTCTCTTGCTTTCCTTCCACTTTCAGGTCGTTCCGCAGCTAAGCTATCACTACGAAGCGCTCATAGCATAGATTAATCCCGGGGTTGCCTTCAGGCGTGTTTGAATAGCCAATTCCTAAACTCTCCTACACATCGGTTTTCATTCAAAGGTGAAACCAGGCTCTACGGGTATAATACACATAAGGAATGGTGGAGGCGGTTATTAGTGATAGGTCCGAGGGGAGAAAACTTAGATGGATCTTACCAGGCCAACAGTTCGTCCATTTTTCCGGGATCGATCAACTAATATCAGACGTGCCTGATAGCATATCTCGAAACACTACTGTCTTGCACACAAACGCCTTCCGCAGGTCTGTATGGGCCAACTATCTTCAAATGTCAACACGATATCGAATTCGTATAACTTCGTGGCGAACCCAAATCCATCTAGGCGAAAGCGCTATTGTCTGACTTTCATATAAAACTTAAGCTAGGACTAAGCACATTACGTGGTACCAGCATGAGAAATTCTTCGCATTCATTCTCTACAATGGCGCTGCTAGATTCACACCGCTTAACGCCTGTTTTCCGGGAGAGAACGAAGATTCAACAAAATTGGGCTGTATATATATTAGGTTGTCTCATAAACAGTGTCGCTTTTTTTCAACCAAAAATTTCCATCTAAATCCCCATGCTTTTACAGCGAGTCATATACCATTCGAAAGAGAATTGTCTGCTCTACAAGATGTGATGTTCTTCTTCTACCTCTGTGTCAGGTTTTCAAGTTTTAGGCCTGCGAAATGGGAGGTCCAGCCGACAAAAATTGACCAAACCGACAACTATCTCTAACTTTATCTTCCCTTGGGAGAAATCAATCAATACTGTACCCTCTACTTATGCATGACCTCTTCTAAACATTACATTATTAGGTTTCCCAACAAGTCGCGTCATTCCATTTTCAGACCTGGTTTTTCAACCAGAACTCGACGGTCAAGCACCATTACCTGAGATCGAGGTCGAAATTTTTTTATAGCCGAGACATTGAAAAACTAGTAGAATTTAAAGAACAAGTCATGACTAAGTTAGGAATGTACGCCTGGTTGATTTTCTCATCTCCTCAAGGATAATTTCTTTCAAAGAAATGCGGTCACTTTCGTGGACAAAGCACCTTACTCCTAAACCCTAAAATTCGAGCTAATTCCTAACAAACATCAAAACAAAACAAATGAGCGAATAGAGCAGAAGAAGTGCTCACAAAAGATACACCAGTTGATATAAAACAATAGCGTTTCAGAGGAAGAATTTCAATTTGAAAATTGCCATGACTTATCGGTTGGCCAATTCGAAAAGAAACAGGGCAAACCTTTTTCGGCAACCTAAGGGTGGAATGTTCAGAAGAGGTCATGAGTAAGTAGAGGGTACATCATTGATTGATTTCTCCGAGGGAAACATAAAGTTAGAGCTAGTTGTCGGTTTGGTCAATTTTTGTCGGCGGGACCTCCCATTTCGCAGGCCTCAAATTTGAAAACCATTGGAACATAGATGGAAGAAGAACACGATATTTTGTAGAGCAGACAATTCTCTTTCGAATGGTATATGACTCGATGTAAAAGCATGGGATTTGGATGAAAAATTTTTTGGTTGAAAAAAAGCGACACTATTTATGAGACAACCTAATACATAGATATTTATTAACGAAAGCGTCAGTTTGAGAAACTCCCGTTATTCGATCGTTAGTACCTCCAGCAAAATTGAGGGAAGGAATGAGGAGGAGAGAGGAACGAACGCACTCCTGATTCTGCCATCTTGAAATCGCAGGAACAACCTCAGATTGTGACCGATTCCTAGGTGACTTGGTTAGTGTACCTTGGCCGGTATTGTAGCCCGTCAACATGGAAGTACGTGGGTGCATAGACAAGCAGTAATGTCACTGTTACCATTTCCACAAATGCATTACACCATACGACAAGAATCACCTTGTTTTTCATAATGGCCTGCAAAACATCAGTTTCAAAAGCACTACACCTTGATCGAAACTCTATTCAGTCCTCTTCAATCTCTCGCCATCCCCTCCCTTCACACATCTCTTCCTCTAACTGTCGCCTTCTTCACTGACCTTTGATGGGACCTCTGCTAAGGATCGAATTTGAAGTCGACTTACTTTATAAGGGACGAAGCTGTCTCGTTCTATGTGCGCTTGTGTTTTATCCCTTTGAATCTTTTCCAATTCCTTTTCGCTAACACTTGGATGCAGTTGAGGATCATCCTGGTAGAATACAATCCATAGGCAAAACACGAAAAATCCAAATCCAGCGTGTAAGTAGAAAGCTGAGCGCCAGCCGAGATCCGAAGAGCATAACTGGAAGGCACCAAAGTCACGGGGTTGATTGACACTTTCTACTAATAATTTCTTTTTCCTCTAGTTCGGCTTTGGCACCTCACAAGGCCACAAGTTGCTGAGAACAATCACACTCCCAAACGATGGGAATCATTTCTCGAATGATTACACATCGTCTTACAGAACTCTATTCTGCTACCGCGGCTGTCGCCCGTGGTCACTCGTCGTCTCACTGTCAACTCGCATTGATGTGGACGAATAGTGAGAAAGATATGTATTAAGACATACAAAAAATGGGAAAAATAAATACCAGGTGAGATTATTGGAGAAATTTTCTCACTTTTGAAAAAAAAATAGAAAGGATAAATCAAAAAACAAATCTAAAAACAGAGGTAGTATTGAACTTGCCCATCCAGACAGTGGATTTGTAACCACGGTAGAGACAGGTGTGAAACAAGTAAGAATGCTGATGAATAGGCTGGTTTGTGACAACGGAGCCCACCGTACACAAAGAATTCCTATTGCCGCGAAATCGGCTGCATAGCCAAGGCCCTGAAAGGCGATATTGAAGATTACGGTTAACAAATGCTGTTGATTATCGGCGTAATCACGGAAACGCTCCGTTTTAGGACTAAGCTTTTGAAGAGGAGAGGAACTCCGGTGTACGGAAGCAATTTTCGTATTCTCCGGAGTTCGTCCCTGCTGTTTAGGCTTAGTCCTAGATGACTTTTCTCAGAGTGGCCCCCCGAGCCACATTGCGCCGTGATATCTAGTGAAAGGTATTTATTTAGATAATTCGCTAAGAGTAAGATCTGGTAAAATGATTCTCGATAAAACTGGCTACCTCTTTTGGATTCTCGCCTGTTTATGCCTTCACTGTCGACAAACGGCAACTTCGCTATTTCTCAACAAACTTGGTGATGTGGCTCAAAGGTACACCTTCACTATAAGTTTAGGTGTATCAATACATTTTGTGGGTAGGATAGGTCTGTCTAATAAAGTCACAGACGTCACGTTCTCTTGGCTCGGAAGTAAGCGAAAAGGGCCTAAGGCCTTCCAAGGCCGCTTCGCACGCTTACATTTTTCCCCTTTTTCCCGCGTTGTCTGCGCCATTTCACCCCAGAAGCTCTCTTGCCGACCTTTTTTCCCCGCCCCCAGTGTCTGACTGCCCTATCAAGTCGATTTTTTCAGCTTATCTGACGTGCACAACCCTCTCCTCATTCAACTTTGAACATCTAACTCCGTAGCTATTTTTCTCGTGCTCCTCTACCGAATGGGGGAGGGGTATTCATTTTTTTCATCAGTGATTACTAGCTACTGAAGTTCACGACCTCAATGGAAGTTGTTCATGCGGCAAGCTTTAACGGTTCTTGCATGATTAGGGGCACATGCAGGGAACCACAGAACCATGGTTCGTTTTTCCTGAACGGCCCTCTGAATACCAAAAAAGGGGTCCCTAGTTCGATTCCTCGTGGTGACAAATTTTTGCATTTCGAGTTGACGTTTCCAAAATTCGCGCAAAATGGAGTTAGCATGATAATTAGTACCATATTCATGATTAGGACCGTCAGTAACTTCCTTAAAAT